TTATAATTGAAATTAGTGAAGGTTTATTAATTAATATATTTATATTAGTCAATTACTTTTAATAAGAATTGTATTATTTAGAAATTTTAAAATTAAATCAAAATAAATAATTTGTAAATATGTATATAAAATAATTTTTTTAAAATTTTTATATATTAAAAAAAACTTTTCACTATTATTTTTTTTTGATTTTTGAATTGTTTTCAAAAATATTGCTTACAATTATTATTTTTTATAATTTTATTTGCCATACAAAAAATTATAAGTTATAATTATTTGAATTTTTTAAAAATTATTGTTTTCAAACAAATGTGATATTTGATATTTAACGTATCAAATTTTTATTAATAAAGATTTTTCAAGTGGCAAACGCTGATAATGTATGTTTAAGAATTCTAACTAAAGATAATAATTTAATATAATAGTACCAGGAAATATATAGAAAATAAAAATATTGGCTGCTCATATTATTATTACATTTTATTTAATCAAAGTAATGCTAAAAACTGTATTTTATGACAAACTTTGTACATACGGCAATGTGTATTTGGAATCTTTAATTTTATAATTTAATTACAGTGAATCCAATATTTTAATTACGGCATATAGCATACATGTCAAAAAGTGAGACTCCATTATTATGTAAGAACGTCCTTGTGGTGAAACGAAGAAAACTTTATATAGAATGGGAAAACTTAGATTTCCCAGATTAGACCCCGGTGTATGACATGCGCGGCACGGTATATGCAAACTAAGCGAGATATCTAGATATCATACAACTTAAAAATTTATGTGCGTCGAAGCTTAAAAAATCTGATGCTAATTGTTGTATCCTTTTTCATAATAGGCACATTTTCCACCAATTAGGAAAATTGGTATTACACATTAATTTTATGCACCTGGATATCATCGAACCACGTGATTTTAGAACCTTAATATTCATTTTTTCATTGCGTATATCCATTGGCAGAGTTTGGTATTTCTCTTCTCATAATCTTGTATCTCGAGGAATTTACACACTCCCTAATTTTGGGGCTCGTTTTCGAGTTTTCTTTCTTTCGATGAGACAAGGAATGCGGAATCTCGAACGTCGGGGAAATTAAATCGAGATGATTGGTATTTCCTCCAGGTTTGGCACGCTTGAATTCCTTGCAAAGACAAAGACAAGGAGCCTCTCCTTAACGACGATCCGAAGAAAAGGATCACACAGTCGCACGAATGACAAATCTGTTATTCAACCTATTGGCTGGAGAGATTATGTAATGCCCACGTTTTAATATAATTGTGCACCTACGCACCGCATTACTAAACACGGACGAATGAAATAATGATTTTATGATACCTTGTTAAATCTTTCTGGAGTTCCATTATTTAACCAAAGTAGAATTTTTTTTAGATAAATACAACGCGTATTTCTCCACACTCATTCAACATCTCTTCTTTGAAGAATTGCATCAACCACACACACAATTATTTTATGATTGCACCATAAAAAAGTTATACGCCACATTTTTTTAGATTTTGGTGAAATACATTCTTTAAAATCCATTTTGCATTCGAATAACGATCTCTTAGATGTCTTTAGAATTAGAAATGGATCCTCTCTCGGAAGATACAAAGACCCCGAATGCCTCTTCCAACAGTAAAAATTCATCCGAAAAAACACCATTACTTCCGATCGCCTCAAAATATTACACATCATCCTCCAATCCTCGGATCTATTCTTCCTTCTCGGATTATCTTCCAAATTCCTTTTTATCCTGGATTCCTCATCCCGTAATATCCACGGTTTCATATCTCTCATCGAAAGTCTCGACCACATCTTCGGCCATAATCTCTCACATCCCCATAATCCCTCTATCTCATATCACCTCTTCTATCTCCTCGTATGCATCCGTTCCTCTCTCGTATGCATCCGTTCCTCTTTCGTAT